CTGGAAAAGACCTTAATGTTGGGAAAGTGTGAAGGCAAGAGGAGAAGGGGACGACAGAGGATGAGATGGTTGGACAGTGTCACTGAAGCAACCAACATGAATCTGACCCAACTCCGGGAGGCAGTGGAAGACAGGAGGGCCTGGCGTGCTCTGGTCCATGGGGTCACGAAGAGTCAGACACGACTAAACGACTAAACGAAACGAATATTAAAATGTGATTAAACCTAAATAATGTTAAAAACATTATTAGTTAAAAACCAGTAAAACAAATTTCAAACAACTCATTTAAAAAACCTGGTGCATCCCCTAAATACTACAATCTCACACGTGCGTTTAGAAGTCAAAGGCCAGCTTCAAAAGGGAAGGTGTTCACCGGCTGGCAAAACATCTGGAAGGAGGGAAACAACACAGACTGATGGAGATGGAGTGTCCCATAGGCTGGGAGCACCCACCAAAAGTGCCCCGGGGATGCCTACTTAGCTCGTACTCATCTTTAGCATCCCTTCCTTGCCTATTTCTGAACAGGGACAACAGCCGCTGATCACCATGTATGGGTGTGAAAGCTGGACAGTGAAAACAGCTGACGGGGGAAAATGATTTGTTTGAAAAGTGGTGCTGGAGGACAGCTTTCCAGATTCCCTGGTCTGCCAGAAAAATGAACAAGTGGGTCCTAGATCAAATCAAGCCTGAACTATCTCAGGAGGTAAAAAATGCTGAAACAGAGGCTGTCCTACTTCGGGCACATCGTGAGAAGGCAAGATTCTCCGGGAAAAGCCTTCATGCTAGGAAGTTTGAAGTTGGAATGAAAAGAGGAAGGGACAGACTCCCTAAAGGAACCGCAGCCTTGTGTCAGCCAGACCCAAGCAAGGCAGCGAATGCCAGGTGACTTGTTCCCAGGATCACCCAAAGTCTGAGGCAACTTGAATGCAGATTGCCATCCGTGTGTGTGTGTGTGTGTGTGTGTGTGTGTGTGTGTGTGTGTGTGTGTGTTTTTGAGGCTCAAACGGCAAGTGTTCGGCTTGGGGACTTTCCACTAGGACAGGCTGTGCAGGCGATGGCACAGACGCCTCTTCCCCTGTGAAGAAACAAAGGAACATGGAGGCCACCTGCCCTTCCCCAGAGTTTCACTGGGAAGGGGCCACCCTGCTGATTAGCCCTTAACATGGGCAAGAACTGCCTCCCACCCTGCTCAGGAGCCCCGGGAGGGGAGGGGAGGGCTACCAAGCGAGGGAACTGGAGTCCCAGGCCCCTCCTGTTCACTGCCCCTTCACCCCACCTTGGAACTATAGCTCCCATTATCCCCCAGGCTCATCAGAGCCTGTCCCTCTCTTCACTCCAGCACTCAGGGTGGCCTCTCCTAGCCAGAGGAAGTGCAAATGATCTGGGGAGGGAAAGGCTGCAACAAGCTCTCCCACCACCACCCCACCCTGCAGGAAGCTTCTTCTGCCCCCCACCTCCCCCCCTGCTGCCAGCCCAAAGCCCTGGGTCTGTGGTGACCATGGCAAGGGGGGGTGTCTTTCTGGAGCAGAGCCTTCAAACACGGGGAGGGACAGCAAAGCCAGAAATGCCCTCACCCCAGACACTCCAGGAGGGCCGGTCAGGGGCAGGGGAGCTTCTGAGATTTTGCACTCCTAAGAATTTTGCACCCGTGCTAACTGCCCCAGCGGCTACACGACACCACTGGCAAGTCAAAGCCTAGGACTGAGGATTAGTTCTCACCAAAGCAGAAAATCCTACGTTGTTCCATTTCAGACTGTATGTGGAAGTACAGATCACTGGATGCTTCTCCATATAAAATATAGTTAGCGTTTTAAAAAGTGGGATGTCAACAAGGAGAGGACTAGTTAGAACCCTTCTCCTGACCCTATTATCTCATATAGCACATTTTTATTTCTTCTTTTTTTCACACAAAACACCTTTTTTCACACAAAACACCTTGCAGGGCTTATGAATATCCCTGAGGCCAGCTTTCCAACAGGTCACCTTAAGAAGAACCAGGAGGCCCCAAAGGTTTCTGTTCTCCAATGTTTGCCCCAGTCCTGTGTGTAGACTGAATTTGTTTTTTCCATTCCCATCCTGATAAATACTTAATCTCTTATAAATCCTCAGCAATAAAAATATGTTTTGAAACTGACTATTGAATATTTCAGAAGTAAAAGACAGTGTGTGCAGTTTAATTTACCAAAGCTGACCATCTTAAGTAACATCCCTCCATTTCGTACTGTGTGGTACTTCGAAGTGTTCTTTGGTTATTATTATTTTCCAGTCTTCTCTCTTTGCTAGTCAGATTTACACTGGATGGTGAGAGGGAATACGAAAAGCAGCTTCAAGGGCTACAGTTTAGTTACCTGGTTGCGAGAATAATCTGCATCTCCCCAAAGGACGATGCCATGAGCGCCCATGGCTGCCGCCTGCCCGATGGTGTACACCAGATCTGTCTAGAAGAGGAACAGAGGCCGGCGTGAATTCCCAGTAACATCATAGATGCCGAGCCATTTCTCATGGGACATCTTGAAAATGCATGCATAGACCACAGGCATCGGGTTTATTTTGCAGCTTTCTCCCAAAACTGGCTCATAATGAAATTTTTTAAAAATATAAGTACACTTTATTCTAGAAGCTTTAGTCGGTCAGATCAAATATAGTACACACACACATGCTCTCTCATACAAGGGGTATACATTCATGATATTCAACAGATCATTTTTTTAAAAAACCCAACACATCTAATTTTCTTCTTTTTTGTTTCTGAACCTTCAGGTAAGTCATTTTGACCTTCTTTTCACCAATGAACTCTTATGTGGTACATGTGAGTCAGCTATAAGTGCATAATGTTGAGTAGCGATGCTTAAAGCTGGTAGAAGAAAGGGTGTTTTAAAAGGAATGCTAGAAGCAATACAGCACATTGCATTCAATTTCAGACGGACATATATTAAGCAGTTCTGAAAAATCTATTTGTATATCAATATTGGCCAACAATCCTTTTTGAGTAGTTATGCCGACAAAAGGGAAGTGACATAAATTGCAGTGGCAAATTTCCAGTAATGAACAAGTCCCTGCTTGGATCTCTGGACATGGGCTGCTGGTGCACTATGAGGAGTCTTAACAGAGACTTGTTAATCAATGGCAACTTTCTGCTGCCCATGACACCAGCCCAACAAGTCAAGAGCATTTCGGCCAGCTGGTCTTAATCCAAACAAAACAGAATACTTCTTTTACCACTTGGAGATCTTTATTCACTAGCAGTGCACTACTGGCATGGCCGGGCGTGCCCATGGTGGCAGCGCATCCACTTACTGAATAAAGTCTGAGACTCAGAAATTAAATGATATCTCATTCCTTTTGCACCTGTGCTTCTATAGCCAATTTTAATTAACCATGTTCGTCAAGAGTCAAGTCATGGATTTTTTTTTGTGAGGTCACCAGCAAGTCCACTGAAAACATGGGCTATAGTGGATATGGGGGACCCCTCCTCTGAGGAGGATATTGGACTCCCAACTCAAATCAGCTTCAGCCAGCATGACCAAGTTATAGGGGGATAATGGAAATACTGGCTGAAATCCTGTTGCTTAGTCATTCTCATACCAATTGAATCTGGGGATTTGATAAGTCAACCCATTTGAATAAATGGAACTTATGGAGGATGCGATTCACCAAATCCCCACTGATTCAATGGGTCTACTCTAGTGTGAATTAGCATGCTAAGGATTTCAGTCACTGTGCAACAACATATTGAAGGCAGTGGGTTTGCTATCAAACTACATCAGGCATATTTTAGATATGAGGTGGAAGAAGGCAGATACCTCACCTGGCTCAGCTCTTTAAGTGTGTAGGTGTAGAAGGGCCTGGCATACACAAAGACAGGTAAGGAATGCTGGAAAGATGGCAGTTCTGCCACTCTCAGGGCTTCACCCACTTTGGCCCACACAAACTTCTTCCCTTGGGGGGAAGTCCTCAGCACCTCCTCCAGGTAGATGGAAGGGTAGAGGGCCTGGCTCTTCTCCCACAGCCAGATCAGTTCATCATTGCGCTGCACCTCCAGTGGGGGGCAGTGCCCCGTGAAATTCTCGAAGTCATCCAAGTAGTGGTAGTTATAGCATTCTGGGAAGAGGTAGTAGCCCCACCAGCCCTTGGGGCGGAGCGACTGGGCCACTCGGAGAGTGTCAGACATGAATTTCTCTGCAGCTGTCTCAAATTCCCATTTGGCCTGCATTTCTGCCTGGTAATCGGATAAATGGGGATTCCTTTGTCTTACAAGGTGGAGGGACATGTTCCTATAGACATTTTTCTTGTCCCAGTTCCGTATCCACTGAGGCCTCCAGTTCTCCCAGTCAATCACAGAAAGGCCTGAAAAGGAATCTGAGGGCATGGCCGCACCGATGTCGGTTTTCATTTTCTCCAAGTGTTCAGTCAGAGTGGCATTCTGAGGGCAGCCACCAAAGACAGCAGTGGGTGGCATCGTCGTGTTCAAGTAATATGGATACAAGCCCAGCTGGTCATAGTAGAAGATGGTGATATTCCCGCCTACAAAGGCCTCCTGGGAGTTCACTAGGATGCCATAGGCGTCCAAGTTGAGTGGGACCTCATAGGCTGAGGAGCATCGAGCAGTTGGCGCATTCCAAGCCACTAGGAAAGGGCTGCCTTTTACAATTGGGGGCAGGGATGGTTTCAGATTGTGGGTGGCCGCCTGTAGGTCTGGGAACAAGAGCAGCAGCAGCAGCAGCAGGAAGATCTGGTGCATAAAGGTCTTGTCTGGCATCAAGTGTGGTAAAGCCTGCTCAGGTGGCCCCGTTAAGCACAAGTTTTGTGCATTGTGTGAAAGACTGCAGGAGGACAGGAGAGACAATCCGTTGAATGAGACGTTCCCACATTAACATTCATTCTAGATTAATATCCCCTTATCCCAGTCTTGAGATTCGGTGATTGATTTATTGCCTATTATGTTTTTATATATCCTCCTTTTGTGCCCATGTGGCTTCTCTCCTATTCTCTGCTTCAACCTTACAACAAGCCTGTGAGGTAGGTCACAGGCTGTGAGGAAAAAGCCTGGCCCAAGGTCACCCAGTCCATTTCCTGGCTCAACAAGGACCAGCATTTGGATCAACCAAGTCTCGGGCAGCCAGCGCTCTCCTCCAGCACCACACGCTGGGTCACAGACATTTTCATCTAACAGAAGTTTGGCTTGTCTTCAGGATGTCCCTGAAATCTCTAGTTTGTTTCAGGGATACTGCGGCAAGCACTGTAAATCCCCTGTACTTTCCCTTAAATCAGTGGTTTCCAAACTTTTTCCACTCACAAGTCCTTGACTTACTGGCCACTGGCTGCGTCTCCCCAATACAATGCTTTGGGAGAGGGAGAAGGGAGCCTTTCTCCAATGGTGTCAAGAATAAATTATAGGCCTGACCAGAATCAAGTGCTGTAATGAGCAACCATGTCTGTCAGGGAGTTAGTACTCTCTTTCACACATACACATAGTTTCTTACTCCCCACTCTTCCTGCAGCAGCCCTTTCATGCCCCATGCCCACCCTCTCTGTGCACTATTTGCCCCTTTGAAAACCTGTCATTCCCAGCCCCATTCCTGCAACATGCCACTAGGCAGGCAGGCTATCAATCAAAATTAGCCCCGCCTTCCTCTCATGGTGCCTCTGCCTACAAAGGATGAGAGGATTTCCCCAGAGCCCCATGGCTGGGTTTGGTGGTGCCGCGGCACACAGTTTGGGAACCTTTGCTTTAAATTTTACTCTCCATGTTCCAGAGTTCTAGGTCAGGGATAGCAAAGGGGTACAGATAACGCTCACAGTTTGCTCCCCAAAGGGCTTCCTTCTTTCTTTTCAAGTCAATTTCAGCGGCCCTGATTGCTAATTGCGGTTGCTACTGGAGGTTCCTCCTTAAGGCCCAAGCAAATGTCCTGAGTAATTCAAACTGCAGTATACATGAATGCAGTGGTGCTGGGGGACAATTTGCTCACTCTTGCACTTCAGAGGTTTTTAGGTTCTGGGGTCATGACTCTGCCTGCCAGGCTATTGACTAAGGGGAGACTAGTAGCCCAACTTCACTATGTCCGGCTTGCTACTGGCCTTTCTGTTTACAGTTTAATCCCTTATATAATCTAATTCCTTTTAAAAAGAAAAGAAAAAGGCATCATTAGCATTCAAGATTCATAGGACATTTTGGATGCAAGCTCTGAATTAATAGCCCCAGAGACTGCACTTGTCATAAATACAGAGAAAAATAGCATGTAGAATTTCAGGATGTTCCCTCTTGCCCCCCCTACTCCTAGCATTGCAAGCATCTTTTTCTCCTCTTCTAATGCTCTCCAGTTTAGCCAGGTCAATTCCACTGGGAGCTGAACAGTCACATTAACCTCATTCTGCATAGGCCACAGAGCAGACATCTGATGATTACAGCCTTCAATCATTGCTGACCTGTATTAAACTTACTATTCCCCTAAAGGCAGAACACTTCTTAGTCAAATGGATTATCCACTCATGTCTGGAGCTCTCAGAAAACCTTGAATAACACGATGCAGTGTAAGTAACCTCAAAGCCAGAAAGATCTTATCATTTGGTTTCTGTGAACCTTGATGCAAGGTGATACATCCTGCTCCCTGATAAAAGAGGCAGAAACCCCCTTCCTCTCTTGTTAGCGTATATACACTCCCACACCCAATGGCTCTGTTAAGCAAAGGGCCTACCTATAACCAGCATTGCATAGATGGCAAGCAAGGATTCAAGGGGGCACCCAAGACCCGCAACTCCTTATGTAGGGCAACGTAGTTCTCCTATAATCAGCAGTCCATCCGCAGCCCCACCCATCCAACCACCCCAAGCCTGTGGCCACCATATGCATAAAGTGTTGATCAAGCCAACTTACAAAAGCAATCAAGCGATGTGCCTCTAAGCGAGGAAAGGGACAACTGAGAATCGTTTGCTAACCAAACAACCCATTCGTTCTCTGCCATGGCAATCCTGATGACCCAGAGATGAGTGAGAGTATGTGATGGGAGTGAAGATCAGAGATAATATTAATGGTCTCCCCTTGTTCTCCCCATACTATCTGGCAGGTCTTGGTAATTCAAGCAGAGAAATATCAGTAACCTCACAATGTGTTCAGAGACCACGCCTCCCGTGCATTAATTCTCATATTTGAGAACACTTCCCGATAGAGTAGCCACGTTTGTCTATTACAACAAAACCAGGAAAGAATCAACTTCAGTGTTTTATTTGGCCTTTTAAATTTATTTGGTACCTTTGTAACCCCCCCTTTCTTCCAAGGAGCTGACAATGCCATAGCTAGCTTTCCTCCTCCACACACTATCCTCACAACAAGGTCGTGAGGTAGGCCAGGCTAAGAAGATGTAGGACTGATTCAAAGTCACCCAGTGGCCTTCATGGGTCGCTAGGGATTTAAACTGAGGCCCTTGGAGTCCTAGTCCAACACTCTAACCACTACACCCCAGGGCCTTTCGGGAGCCACTTTCTATCTGAATGCCAGATTCAATTACAGAGATGCCCTTGGGTGTGGACAGAGGGGGAGGGGGGGACACTGTCCAGAAGGAACAAAAACAAAAGGATGGAAATAGAAACACAAACATGGCTTCTATCATTCTGAGAGTTACCATAAGTCTCAGATGATGATGCAGAAGAATTAGAAAGCTAGGTGCCTTGAAGACATATATGTTTTATTCATCGTAAGCTTTGATGAGCTGCAGTCCACTTCTTCAGATGCATTCGGATGTGGTATGGAAGTTACAAATGTTGCCACTGTCAAAGCATAGTTTTAACCAGCCCACTGAGGAGTAGATTACGCTCTCCCCCGCCCCCGATATCACTTAAGCTGTAAAGCAGAAATTGCTTTATCTGGACCTAAGCTTCAGAAGCACTAACTATACCTCCAGGGAAGATTAAAGGGCAACACGGCTACCGAGCTAATATTTCCTCTATCAGTATCCTAGCTGTCAATAGAGGAAATTGTGTGGAAGAAAACAACTCCCCAAAGAAACATGTTCTCTTTTCCTTCACTTGAAGCCTTTAAGAAAAGCCTAACAATTCCCTACGATCTTGCATTCAGCCAATTCATACCGTCAGGCCTGAACCAATGAACACAAATCACAAAAAAGGAAATTCCTACTAAATATTAGGAAGAATTTCCTTGATTGTAAGAGTTACTTGACAGTGAGATGGATCGTCTCAGAAGGTTGTGGACTAGCCTTCATCAAAAGTTTTAAACTGAGGTAGTTCAGCCTTTGCATTGGCAGGACTCTATTATCCTTGGGATTTTCTGTCCCACTGCACAGGAGACTGGCTCCATATGCGTGAGGATGGGCAGGACTACAGCCTACATGGGTATAGTGTATAGAGTGACTGACTAGGACTCAGGAGATCTGAGTTCAGATTCTCGCTTAGTCATGGAATCTCGGGTGTTTGTATGGAACCACTTCTTAAATATCTCCCTTTTCTAGAAAGCCCTGTTAGAAAAATTTGTTCCGATTTGATGGCACATAACACATACACATACAACCTGTTCTTCAGCCTCAGAGATTCATTTGTCTCCTGAGTCTCAGTCCGAATTGTGGCGACCCTTTCAAACAGTAAATGTGAGTAAATATGTAGCAAATTTTACTCTAAGGGTACTGTGAAAACAGCTCTTGAGATTTGCCAGCTGGTTTCCTGTGCTCATAATTTTATTGTGTGTGGTTCATATCCGATGCATTACTTTTCATAATAATAGCAGTTAAGCACATTTAATTACAGTGCTTTCTACTTTTAGAAAGGGAAGAGCTCTCCTGCCAGATTCATGCTCTTAAGACCGCACACACCAGACCGGTTAAATTCTAGCAGCTTACTGGAAGGACAGCTGGCGGCTCTGTGGCAGAGCGATGGCACAGGCCAAAATGAGATGCCAGCTAGAGGGGCAGTGGGCATGGATGCATGTCCTGAATGAGATAGGTGCTGAGCTGTGAAAAGTTACTTTTTGGACAGCAATTCCAAGAATTCCCCAGATAACATGGTTGGTTAAGAGAGACAGTTTTAACCATTCACTTGATTCTCTTTGGTTTTTACTACCAGTGTCAGGCTCTAGAGGCTCTGTGAATTAAATCAAATTTTAAATAAACACAGTCCAAGAAAATATTTTGAAAACAATGTTAGGATGCCAGTCCTACAAACAAGATCCATTTCAGAGTATTTTCCCCCCTTAAATAAAAGGAAAGAAAGAAGAAAGGAAAGAATTTAGCTTCTCACTCTTATGTAGTCCTCCCACTTCATTTCTCTCTCTCTCTCTCTCTCTCTCACACACACACACACACACACACGTACATGTGCGCGCACACACGCACGCACGCACACACAAGCCCTCAGTTCACTCCAAGGTAAACATTATATTAAGAGTGGGGGGTGGTTATCTGTGAAGGAAATGTTTGTGTGGCATTACATGATTTTAAAAAGGACATACATGATTAATGGGCATATTACCAGCTTTTGGGTAACAGCATTTTTCCATGTGTATTTCTGCTCTGAAGGAGAGCCTTTATAATCCTACTGCTACTCCTTCTTCTCTTTTTCTTTTTCTTTCTCTTTCTTGTCTTCCACTGGATATCATTGTGCCAGTACCCCTTCTGGTGCAGCATCTCTAAATACTGACGCCAGGCTGCCTCCAAACCAGTTCATAGGATACTTCAGCCAATAAATTCATTCTCCTCCTTTGCATGTCTTTTTTATTTTACTTTAAATGATCGGCTGTAAAAATCTAGTTTTTGTTTTTCATTACAGGACCAAAGTACGCCAGCTTTCTGCATTTTATGAGTTTTATCACTAGATGTTT